GTAGTAGTACTGTTGTATATTTCGAGATATTATTGACAGTTGAGTTATATAACTTTTGTTAAATAAGGGTGTCAGTATACTGAATTTTTTATAAATATGTAAATACTTTTCTTTGTTACTGTCTTCCTAATAAATTATCAATTGTTGATGTTTAATTTTTTTTAAATGCAGATGTTGATGATAACCAACAAGGATCATCATTGGATTGTTAGTCAAAAGTGATTTCTCCGAAGTTATCCGCTTTGACGGTATTAAATTTTTTTCCTTTATTTTGAAATTTAACCTCTGATTATTAATTTTTGAGAATGACTCATTGTTAAATTAAATCCAAAATTTTGTTCTAATAAATGATGTCGAATTACTAAAAATTATGTTATGTTAATTTCTATTGAACCTCCAAAGTAGTAAGTGAGCTAGAGCGAAAAAGCAGAGAAAAATTATTCTTTCTCTTGCTCAATATTAGATTTTTTTGTTTAAAGTTACAATGATGTTATGTTCCTCTTGTTATTTTGCTGAAGGAGTCCCATGAAAAGACTGACTCCCTCCCGATCACATTAATTTTGTTTGAGCAAATGTTATAGAAAATAACCCCGTAAAGTAACAAATAAATTTTTTTAAAATTTATTATGTCACAAGGTAGCTGTCATAAATTTGATGGTTTAAAAGCGAAATTGAGGCTTAAATACCGGACTGGTACCAATAATATAAATGCTATTTTACTACCGGACCGGTATACCTCGTCGGTCGTAAGCATTTACATTACACCGACTTTTCTGCCTGGGACATATAAAAATAATAATATTTGCACACAATTTCATATACTTCAATTTCAATTCCATTCAATGCTAATTTTCATATCAGTCAATTTTCGTAATTTCAATTATTTCACAAAAACGGAAGCTTGTTAAATAAAATTGCGGCATGTATATTTGAATTTTCATATGAAATAATTAATTTTATAAACAATCTCTAGGTTGTCAATCATTGTCACTTGCAATTATTGTGGAAACTGAATAATATCAAAGTTAAACTTACATTATTTTCCATATTTAATAATTATATTTTAATAGAAGCAGAGTAGGTATAAAGTATTTGTATATTCCCAATTAAACTATAAATTATTATACATATATACAAGTGTAAGTGAATCGATTTGTTTTAAAAACAATTTACATAATTTTTTAATATATTAGTATAGTAATTTTTTTATAAATAAGTTTTTGATTTGGATTTTTTCAATTTGTTTCCTAATTGAAGTGAACAAATTTGTTTCAAAATTATTGTTATTTATTTTACGGAAAAACTTTGTTTTTTTGTGAAAATTTGCAAAAATTTATTAATCAATTATAGCATAACTGTCGTATTCATAAACGCTAATAATTCACTTTTTAATCTCTTTCATCTATTTTTTAAAATTTATTTCCAATCTCTCGCGGAGAAGAGAAAAATCCGGCTTTTATTTACGTAGAAAATGTCCTGCACGTGATTCAACTCATGGTTTGGAAGTTTTCGATTGTCCCATATCAACACTTGACAAGTTTGTAGCTCAATACAGCCCAACCTCTTTATAACTGTTCGAAGGGCGGTTAGGGGAAGAAGTTAACAAATGTAGGGGGCCCCTACTATGCGACGTGTATGTGTATTACGGCGTGGAACCTCTTTATAAGCTTTACTGCGACACATTCCTATTAAGCAAACGCAAGCGAACGTCAAAAATTATCGAAAGCTTATAAAGAGGTTGTTGTTGATTCTATTTGTTTTGGCTTGGAGTGGGGGACTTGTCGAGAACTCAACTGACCTTGAAGCTTATAAAGAGGTTGGGCTTTAATATAAACAGAATATCTACCAATACCATATATATATATATACCTTTTATTCAAAAAATAAAAACAAAATGCTTAATTCTAAGTTGTAATCGAGGTTGTAATTCATGATCTCGTTTATTGAAATTGATTAATTACATAATCCGAGCTGAATTTGTAACTGAAGTATTAAACATTGATTTTAAACATTTGTATCTACCCACACAGTACCCAAAATTCGCTGAAACTTGACAGAACCTCTCACTGCGTGATTAGGAAACTTCAGTGGCAAGGTTCATACAAGTTTGTGTCGGTGTTTAAATGTCCCCATGAAAAGAATATTTACACAAAACTTTGAGGGAATATTACACTATAAATATTCACGTTCAACGTTCAGTCAATGTTGTGTCAATATTCACCTATGCTTATTATATTAGTAAACGAAATTTTTATAACTAGGCGAAAATTTAATGTCAATATTGACACAACAATGACTGAACATTGCACGTGAATATTTATAGTGTAATATTCCCTCAAAGTTTCGTGTAAATATTCTTTTCATGTGGACATTTAAACATCCACACAAAGTTGTATGAACCTTGCCACTGAAGTTTCCTAACCTCGCCGTGTGAGGTTCTGTCAAGTTTCAGAGAGTTTTGGGTGCTGTGTGGGTAATAATATCCATTGAATTTTATTCCTTTCTCATTTATTTCACGATAGAAAACAAATTTTAATTTTACAAGTCAACTGACTTTCTATATAGACTATACAAACTACTTGATAAATCTCCATTGGCGAAATTTCAATAATTCAAATCAAGAGTGTTATAAATGTTTATTCGAGCCAAATAACTATTTTCTGTATACAACATAAATTTATTTTCCTTGCACCACTTTTCACAAAACTTAAATCAAGTGGAAAAAGTTGATTTTTTAACAATTGTCCATTCACAATTAATCATTCTTTTTTGGAATTAAATAGATTTTAAGAATTTCAAAAATGAAAGAAGAATTTGAGGGACATTTTGAAACAATAAATTAGAATTTGAGGAATGGGGCACATGAATATATCTTATAAAAATCATTAGCTAGAACTTTCATTTGTATGAATTTCAGATACCGAATTTTCATTTAACATAATTTTTATATTAACAAATTTTTTGTTCTCCAACTTTGTATTTTAAAGGGGGAAACTTGTGTAAATGCACGTTTTTTCAGGAATTTAAAAAAAAACTGGTAAAGTTTATTGAATTAAAGTAAAGCGTACCTTAAAGTACACAATATAAGCTTTATAAAAAAAAATTTTTCATTAAACAATATTACAAAATGGTGGCGTTACAGGCGTTTGAAGTTGCTTCTTTGATTTTGCACCGTGCAGTCTACAGATCACAAATTTCAACTAAAATCAAAATTTTTACCGTTAAAATACGCAAATACACTTTGCATGACGAAGAGAAAACTAAAAGAAATTTCTTTTTTGAAAATTTGGGACTATTTTGAAAAAAATCACTTTTTTAAACAATGTTCAAAAACAATTGTTAAAAAAAAATTTTTTTTGAAAAAAAGGACCTCGTCATGCAATAGCCAGTTAGATAAAGAAGATTTGTGGTAAGTTTGATTAAAATCGGTTAAAAATTGGCTCAGTTACATTGCACGGCTCGCGAAAAAACACGTTTCGAGAAAAACGCGTATTAAGTTTTCGATACATAAAATAAGTGTTTTAACTATTGCCTTGAAGACGTTATGTATTCGAAAATAACTATTGCACTAAAACCACGATATACTATCACTTGCTTGTGGTACTTGCTAATGACAATTAATGAAATTATATTGCTAAGAAACCAAAGGAATAGAGAGATCTAGTATTCATCGTTAACTGCATTTGGTAGCATCTGAAGTGCTAAACTTATGTTTACTATAGACATTCATACATCTAATTATAGATTAGTAATGTAGGATCATATTCTACAGATAGTAAACTATTTTTTAAAGCAAAAAAAAATTGTAAAAAAATTTTGTTTTACACGAGTTTCCCCCCTTAAAGCATTAATTTAAACCAATTTTAATTTATCAAAAATCTCATTCAACAGAATTGTAGTGATTCAAATTATTTAATGTCAGATTTTTAAACTATCGAATGTCCATGTGTCAGAATTTTTATTTACACATATTGTTATTTGATAGAATACCTAAAACCATACAAATGACCTAACAAATAAACGTCAGAAAGATTTTAAAAACTGCGCCGAAATTTTTCTGACGTTTGTTTGTTAGGCCATTTGTAATTTCTATCAAATGATAATTTGGTGTTTTAGGAATTCTATCAAATAACAATTCGTGTAAATAAAAATTCTGACACATGGAGATTCGATAGTTTAAAAATCTGACATTAAATAATTTGAATCACTAAAATTCTGTTGAATGAGAATTTTGATAAATTAAAATTGGTTTAAATTATAATGCCTTAAAATACAAATTTGGAGAACAAAAAATTTGTAAAAATAAAAATAATGTTAAATGAAAATTCGGTACCTGAAAATTGTCTTGAATAAAATTTCGTTTACAAAGAAGATAACTCAAAATATAATCTAAGAGGTTTCTAAAGTTTTTCTACGATGCATTTTTACCAGAGTTGATTAGAGATTTATGTTCACAATGTTACAAGTATGTTCTTAATTCATTTTTATATAAACTGTTTCATGCGTTCTATAATATTATAATTATAAATATAAAAAACCTTTTAAAATAATATTTTTATCATTATTTTCTAATTTGTGACCAAAAAAGCTTAAGTGTCCGGCTCTACCCGAATCTCCCTTAACCCTTTGAGGACCAGTGTTAGATTCAGGCAACATGAATATTTGTTTGTAATTTCATGAATAAATTTCTTGATTTTTAATCTGAATTTTGGACCAATATTTTTCATTTATAGTCTAATAAATTTCCAATTTCAAATTCTGGCTTTGAAATAAAATGCTTAATTCATTTCGCTGAAAAACTTGTTTAAAAATGATTTGGTCCTCAAAGGGCTGAGGAGGCAAGTATAAAACGTATTTTATAAAAGTTAACATAAGTACTAAAAGCAAATCTCAGTATATAATTTATGGATTACGAAATCTATTGGCGTCGATTATGAGTAAATAAATAAGGAAATCAATTATATTAAATTAGAAGGAGAGAAACATTATTTTTTACTCACCCAAGATAATCCCTGGACGCGATAGACTCCCATGACATGGCTCTCCTCTTTAAGTTGCACCTTTTTTGATCCTGATCTTCCTCTTTCTTCTCTCCCACTTTCCCACTCCAATCTCATCTCTCTCCTTGACCATTATCCACTCCACCACAACTGCACGACACACTTATGCAGTACATAACCTTTTTTTAAACACCTTTAATTATTCTTCACAGATTTTAATTCTGATTTGTTAATCTCTTGCTTTCTTATTATATTTAATAATTTTTGAACCGCTTTCCTACCTTTAATTATTTTTCACAGATTTTAATTACGATTTATTTTCTTAATTGTATATTCAATGATTTTAACAGAATATTTTTATAAAATTTAGAATTATTTCTTTCTTGTTTTTTTTTAAATAATATTTTTTTTCACAACTTTTGACACTTATATTTTCATTTACCAGTGTGCTAATACCTGTGTTGTTTTTATATTTTTAAAAACTCGTTTTCTCACATAATTTGTGAAAGGAATTTGAGATCTTTTAACAACATAATACACTGTTTCTAATATGTTTTTTTTCACACAACTACCAACAAAATTTTTATTTTTCTCTCTAGATGAAATTCCTGACTTTTTTGTCTAATAATTATTGTCCTTTATCTTGAATGCATCTTCTGTTTTTAATTTTTTAAATTTTTGCTATGTTTTCCATACTCCTTTTCACAATATTATGAAATATTTTGCTTCTTAAACTTTTCTTCTTTATCACTTTTTTTAACATTGAATATTTTTCATTATCGAAAATTTTTTATATTTTTTGCTCTTACGCTTTATTCTTCATTGTGAATTTTCCTATTTTTAGTTTATATCTTGAATTTTTCTTACTTTAAATTATAATCTTCTGTATTTCCAACAACTCTTGATTCTCTTAATTTAATTTAAAAAATTGATTTGAATGAATGTTGTTTTCTTTAATTTAAATTTTTGCCATGTCTTGAATGTCTCGGAGATTATCATAAATTTTCCTTTGACTTGAGTGTTTTTTTAAGCATGAACATTTCTTGCTTTATTTCAAAGAGTATTTTCTTATTCCTTGAATATTATATACTTTTTTTTGAATGCTTTTTGTTGTAACTTGAATGCTTTTTCCTAAACGTTCTTTCTTTACATTGAGACATTATTTTGGATATAACTTTATCTTATATTTTAATTACTCTTTGCAATTTCTTGAAATATTTTTTCACTTTTCTGTAATATTGTTTTCCTTTTCTGAAATGTTGTTCCCTAAAATTAATTTTTTCTTGAATGTTGTCCTTTCTATGAAATGTTAATATCTGTTGTTACGAAGGATTGGTTAGAAAATTTATTTACTTTTAAAAATGTGGGTTAAATTATTTATCCCTTATAAATTAGTCTCTTATAGTAAAATTGCGATTAGATCTAGAGGTAATTCGGTTTGTTAGTGACGAATCGTCTATCTAATGTATATTTATCGATTAGGATTCATAGTATCTCTTATTTGTTAAGAAGAATCTCACTCAGGATTATCATGTTTCTCTCGAGTTCTCCAAGTTTCTCAAATACAATTCTCTTTAGTCGAAAATTTTCAAATAAAGACGTAAATTTTGCTGCCTAATTTTCTCATTAACTTATCAACATTTTTAACTATTTAAATTCGAATCCTGTATATTTTTACGTATATGGTATACACATTTATAAATTTGAATTCTAAATCTCTGCGAGAAACTGTGAGAAGAACCTCAGATGAAGCGACCTCGCCCTGTAATTGTTTTCCCTCAAAAAAGAGATTTTTTTTTCTCTCTACAAAAGTCCCAAAATGTTTATCTTTTAAATATTACTTTTTACTATCTGCAAAATTATTCCGATGTTTTAAAACATGGTGGTAATCCATCAATCCGTATACGATTTGCGAAAATCGAATTTACAAAGTCGCAAGTTGTAACCTTGAGAGGATCTTGTATAATTTCCCCGGGGGGTGGCAATTAAGAAACCGAATGTCACGCACGATTTGAACGAGGATTTGAGTAAATCTGAATTCGCGTCAGTATTACTGTTCCTCTTTCGCTTTAACCTTGGCCCGCCTTAAATAAACCGCGGCTGGTGATTCGCATGCGTGTCTAAGTTTTTAGGGTGGCCATCGTCGAAGTCAAGCGTCAGGCGCGTGACATCGCGAGGCGAAGACACGCGGAATAGTGTCCGCGAACTCTTTGGGGGATGGGTGAGGGAAGGTCGCAAATGCCAGGAGAAAAAAGAATTTGGAAAAAGGGCGAAAGAGAGAAGAAAGAGAGAGAAAAAGAGAAAATAAGCAACGAATATCTACCGGCGCTGGTCGAGGCAGAACTGTCGCGCCCGAGCCGCAGCAGCCCGCAACACACGACCTAACCAAACCTTTCTCTCTTCTCTTCCAACCCCCACCAGGTCACCCGCATTCGCCGCTGCTGTTATCCTTTCTCCGCAGCCACCCTTCTCACTGTTCCATCTATCAAGAAGAGAGATAGAGAGTGAGGGAGAGAGAGAAAGAGTTTCACCTACATCTCGTTATCCACCCCTCTTGCTACCATTGGTAAACTCCTTAAGCTGGGAAAGGTGTGTCGAAACTAAATGAGGGCTGCTACCTGCTTTAAGAAAGTGAGAAGAGATCAGTGCCACAAGATGGAAAGGGATTTCTTGTTTATGGATTTTTATTAGGATCATCCATGATTTACTAACTGGGGTTTACTGTTAACAGAATATCAAGAGTAACTCACCAACAACATTTTTTGTATAGTTTCGAATAAAAGTTTCAATTTTCAAACTCTAATTTTTTCCAAGGTACGCAGAAAGTGTAAACATTTAAGAAAATCTAAATGGTTTAATAAAAGAACTAATAGATCCCGTGTGGAAAAATTTCGGGGCGCTGGTAGGACACTGGACAGACTGTCTAACGTCTCTATAGACCCAGGCCAGACGGTCTTGTCGAGCCCCCGATCAGAAGTGGAACGAAAGTTCCATGCTACGGTCTAAAGTTAGACAAGCTGGCTAGGTCTTGATTCTCGCGTTCAATAATTCTTAATAATAATAGTAATAATAATAATAATCCTATTAATATTACGTATTATTATATTTATAGATAAAATTAAAATAACATTAGTATTCATTAATAATATGATTTTAATTTATTAATAATAAGGAGATAAGTTGTATTGGAATCTTATAAGTCAAGACAACTTATCTCCTCATTTAATTATTATTAGTAATTTCAAAAAAAATTTATTATTATTTAATTAATTTAATCCGAAGTTTTTTTACAATTTTTGTTTCATCAGTTAAGATTAATTAATAACACCTGTGGAAATAACACCTAATCTAATTTGAAAAATCTCGCTCGCACTGGGCACCGAACCCACGACCTAACACTCGCAAACTTACAACGCTAACCACGGGGCCACGCTGGCTACTTGGCGACAATCTGTTAATATCGGTGATGTTTTTGGCGCGCCTTTATGCTAAATTCAAAATGTTTTTATTCTTAAATTACATATATATTTTTAATATAATTATAAAATTATTTCTATTTATATAAAAGCCATATCCATTGCCTTTATTGTCATAGGTAAGCCCATCTAAACTAGTCGGTCTTGCTATTCGCTAAGAAGCGTTTCAATAGACGTAGTAGAGTTCGTCTTATCTAGACCGTTTTTCAAGACTCAGGCCAGCGACTTTACAGCGCTACTTGACAAACGTGTAGGTTATGGTCGTTTGCGGTTGTCAGCGTACTTTTACAGTTGTTGCACTTTTGTGAAATTCTTTTTTTTTGTAAAATGCTTTTGTAAAATACTTTCGTAAAATACTTTTCTGAAATACTTTTGTGAAATACTTTTGCGAATTACTTTTGTAATTGCACCCAGAGAAATGTTTTATTTGAATTAAATAAAATATATTTGACTTAAATAAAAATGGATATTTGTCTCAGAGCCTACTAAAGTTTTCTTTGTCTTAAATAAATTTTTATATTTAAATTTGAGACAAATAAATTTTTATTTGCTACAAATATATTTTATATTTAGGACAAATAAATAAAAAGTTTTGAATGTAATATATTTAATTGCAAAATTGCCTGGTATTCAGACAAATATTCTGGAATTGATATAATTAAAATTGAAAATCTTAAATTTTTACATTTCGTGGTTATTTTTTTGTATGTTCCGTGGATATTGTTGAAACATAACAATTTCCATTTCTCTGCGTCAATGATAAGTTCATTTGAATTCTGCTTCACATTTAAGACACAACAGGGAGAAAGGCACTCAAAATAAAAGGAAAGTGTGATTTAATTAATAAACACTCGCGAATAAAAACATTTCTTTAATTATCCTGAAATTAGTATTTGTTTTAATCAAATAATAATCAATCCTTGTACAAACAACTGCTTGGTCGCGTTAATCTGTCACCTCGTTTTCACTACGTCCGACATCTTTAAAGTTATATCGTATACAGTATTCTGCGAATGCTTGCGTTCAACTCGAATAAACTTTTCTTTGAATTAAATATATTATTTATTTGCCACAAATGTACCTTTTTAAAAAGTACTAATAAAATTGTTTATTTGTAAGAAACATATACGACAATTTCAAACAAACATTTATTTATTTAATTTAAATAAAATATTTATTTGAAATAAATAAAAATGATTTAAATATAAGTTTTTATTCAAAACTAATAAATTTTTTCTCTGGGTGTGTGTACAAATATTTTTAAATAATATATTTTTTACAATTTAATATATTTTATAATTAGTAATTAATATTATTTAAATTAATATATATTGTACAGTTGGATATGTCGAATTTGGGTGTAATAAATTTTAAATATATTTTTAGTTTTGTTAAAAACTACTTTTGAGTTTGAGGTTATGTAAATGGATATATAATATAAAAATAAATAAATTCGTGACAAAGTTTTTTCTTCGACTAAAAAAATAAATTTCAAAAATCTATAAAAAAACAAAAGAATATTTTTATTGAAATTAACAGCGATATATAAATATAATTTAAATAATATTAATTACTAATTATAAAATATATTAAATTGTAATTAGTAAAAATTGTAAAAAATATATTATTTAAAAATATTTGTACACAATTACAAAAGTAATTCGCAAAAGTATTTCACAAAAGTATTTTACAAAAGCATTTTACAAAAGCATTTTACAATGAAAAGAATTTCACAAAAGTGCAACAACTGTAAAAGTACGATGACAACCGCAAACGACCATAACCTACACGTTTGTCAAGTAGCGCTGTAAAGTCGCTGGCTTGAGTCTTGAAAAACAGTCTAGATAAGACGAACTCTACTACGTCTATTGAAACGCTTCTTAGCGAATAGCAAGACCGACTAGTTTAGACGGGCTTGCCTATGACTGGTAAGACTATTTCTAGACGCTAGACTTCCACAAAATTTTTCCACACGGGATGACCAGGAAATATATAAGAAATATTTATGTGCTGATTCCCACAAATTTGCTTCATATTCCCATTTCCACTTCCACTTTTTTTAACTTTGATTCTCACTTTCATTTCCACTTTTCTTATTTTTATTCCCACTTCCATTTCCATGTCGACTTACACTTTTTCTAATTTTCATCCCCACTTTTACCTCTACTTTTTCTTATTTTCATTTTTACTTCCATTTCCACATTTTCGGCCAATTTTGAAAATTGGAAAAAGTGGAAACGAAAAATTGAATTTTCATTCATTTTAAGTTTTAGACTGCTACTGGGTCGAAAATATTTGCATTGATTATTTTACTCTGTTTGATCGATAAATTTTATGTTTTTAAAAACTGACTTCGTATATGTAATCAGCAACCCTAAAAACCTTCGAGAAACAAGTTTCAAGTAAATTAATTCATTTAGTTTAAAACGTGTTTTCTGAAAATGACGAAATTTAAAATAAGATTTTTGTTTCTCATTCAAGTCTATGACTACACTCGCAGGTAAACAGTTAGTTATTTATGTTTTGTGTAAAATTTTTAGAAATTAAACTGTTAATTTTATTTTGAGTAAGGGCAAGAAGAGTTATGAGGTAAACAATTTACATTAATAAATTAAAAAATTTTAAACATTCAACTGACAATCAGAAAAATAGAAAGTGGGATAGGAAATTAGAAAAAAAAAGTTATTGAGAGTGAGAGTAGAAATGGAATTTAAAAAAGCGGAAATGGGTGTGGGAATGGAAATTGAAAAAAGTGGGAATGGAAGTGAGAGGGAAAATAAGAAAAAGTTTAATTTAAAGTGAGAATGAGAATAAAAAAGTGAAAGTGGGAATGGAATCACCTAATCGACCCCTAGAGGTCAATTATGTAAATCGTCTTCGTCCTCCATTTCGTGTTTCATCTATAGTAAAAGTAAAATTAAATTACATTACATTTTAAGAAGTCATTTTTGTAAACGAAACATTAACCTCCATCAACTTTTAGTAAAATTTAATTGCTTTTCACTGGAAATTTGAAAAATTTTAATTTGACAATTCTTCAGTTAAATTTAAGTCAAAATATGTGGTTAATGGAGATTATTATTTTACAAAAATTACTTCTTTCAACGTAATTTAATTTTCTGTGAAAAACAATCTAATTTTACTAAAGGTGGAAGACGAAGACATTACTATTTACATTATTCACCTCCTGTATATAAGAAATGCTTCAGAAAATAAAATAAAAATTGTCTCTTAAATATTGTCTCATAATTCTCTAATGTTCAAGGAAGAATTTTCAACGAGACTTAAACTAATTTTTTTGATAGATTCTTTGTAAACCGATAATTACAAAAAGGTACTCGGTTTTGCCCCACTCTCCCCTATACACTCGTATTTTTAGCTGAGATATATGTAGATAAATGGAAAGAGATGAAGAAGCAATTAAAATTCAATGGAAAGTATGTTAGAAATATTTGTCTTATATTGGATCAATTTGATGTAGGAGAGAGATGAGTTCGATCCAAAAAAATATTAATTGAAATCGAAGTAGATGTGTTCTAAGCTGGTAAAAGATTGATAGGAGACAGTATGTAGATCAATTGAAATGTAAAAAAGTCAATTTGACTTGCAACTGAAATCCATTTAAATTAAATAAATAAGGATTATTTTAAACCAGGAAAGATCAATTAGAAAATTCGCATAAAACCGAGAAGAGAGGGTGAAGATTAATTTCAACTGAAACACGATTAATTAAGCTCACATAACATTCTAATGGAGGATATAACGGATTAATTGGAATCGATTGCTATCAAATCAAATTATCAAGGAATGTTATCATATGGAAAAGATCAATATGTATACATGTGTAATACATTGAGATAAAATTATATTAGGTAATGTATAACTGTTTATTTGTACCAATTAGAAGAACTATGCATAATCAAATTAAATAATTAAGAAATGAATTTGGATTTTTGAACATAAATAGTTCTTTCAACTTTTTTCGATCAATTTAAAACTAAGTACCTACTGCTTTTGATTTTTTTGATTTTCATTTGCAGTCTAGTCACACTCTTTAAATGTGCTTTCGCCAAATGAAATGACGAATTACTAAATCATCAAAATAACTTTTTTCTTACTGGGTAGCTAAATATTGAGTTGCTAAACATTAGGGTGCCTAAAAATACCCGATTTTTGAATTTCTGTAATACTATACCTAAAAATATTGTTCCTTAGAGAAAAAGACGAGATACGTATTTTTTTAAAATTATTTTTATTAATATTTAGAGGTCGCGCTAGTCCGTTTTTCATGAAAAAATGGAATTTTACCATTATTGATCTGTTAAATAAGCAAAAACGAAGCAAAAATATTCGGACCTTTTACAAATTTACTCTCATAACATCACCAAATGTGGATGTTGTGTACAATAAATAGATATATATGATTTGAAGGTTATTACAGATCTAAAAAGATAAAAATTTGAAATTTATGTTTAAAAATAGGTCCAATTAGTCAATAAATCTTATTTTCATTCATATCTATATATTTTATTATTTCATAGGTCATGTCAAATATAAAATATCTGACTGACTGTGCAATTTATTATATTACAATTAAAAAGTCTACCATACCTACATCCAACACAATTAATTCTAATTTACAGTAACAGTTGTAGTAAAAATTTTCAGGATTTTTGTTTATTAATTATAGGGACAAACCACTGGGGGTCGATTACGTAACTTTCCCACTTCCCACATCCCACATCTCACTTCCCACATTTTACATCCCACTTCCCATATCCCACATCTCACTTCCTACATTGTACATCCCACTTCCCACATTTTACATCCCACTTCTCACTTCCTACATTTTACATACCACTTCCCACATCCATCATCTCACTTCATACATCTCACTTCCCACATTTCACATCCCACATCTCACTTCCCATATTTCACATCCCACTTGCCATAAATCACATGTGCCACTTTCCACATTTTACATCCCACTTCTCACATCTCACTACGCATCTTTCACATACCACAAATGTGGGAAGTGAGATGTGGAATGTGAAATATGGGATGTGGTATGTGAAAGATGGGAAGTGGTATATGAAAAATGGGAAGTGAGAAGTGGGATGTGAAATATAGGAAGTGAGATGTGAAATATGGGATGTGAAATATGGGATGTGGGATGTGGGAACTGGGGTGTGAAATATGGGAAGTGGGATGTGAAAGATGGGAAGTGGGAAGTAGGGTGTGAAATATGGGAAGTGGGAAAGTTACGTAATCGACCCCCTGAAGATCATCTGAGAGTGGTTGCTGGCATATTTTTAAAAAATTTTGTTTTAATAAATGTAAAACTAGGTGAATTTCTAATTGTAAGTTCATTGGTCATAATATTACCGTGTAAATTTTATTTCGTTTTAAATTATAATTTATTAAAAGTAGGAGGTTCACGACGTCATTTAGTAACCTTATAAATGTTGCACTTTTTTTGAAAATATAATTATTCAAAAACTATGAAGTATTAGATATTATTACTTACCAAAAACATAAATTAAATTATTCTACATCAAAAAATGATGGAATTATTAGGGGAGAGTTAGCATGGTTGGGCCAGTTTTTGATTTGTGCCCATAACTTCCGTTTCAGGGTAAATTTTAAATTCTCTCGTATATGGTTGGAAAGATACACTAAAGTGGAATGTTTCTTCTCAACATCAGAAAATGATTAAATCAATAGTGTAAAAGTTACAGGCATTTAAAAAAAATTTTTGTCGTATAGGTTGGGCCAGGGCTTGATGCTTGGGCCACTGTAGTAAATTAATATGAAATGAAGGAAATTGACCAAAAAGGACCCGCAAATGGCAGAAAAATACTGAAATTGAGCTGAAAATGATAAAATATAATCTGAAATTAAAATAAAATTAGCCCCCTGAACCAAAATCCGATTATTCGCGAAACTAGTCTAAAAAGTTAAAAAATAGTACCAAAATTTATTATGATAATATTACAAAATTGGTGGGTGGCCCAACCATGACGAACGGCGTCGTAAGCAAAAACACGCTAAACAAACATAATAACAATAACGCTAAATAATGCTTGAAACTTTTAAATTACATTGTAATGAACAATTTCTGTCATTTTATTATATTGTTTGCTCATTTTTTCTGTTATTTAATTGACTTTTCTGTCACTGTAAAAAAGTTTTGGGTTGTCATTTTAGCTCTTATTTTGTTTTTCTTGAAAAAATAAATGTTTATTGCAATTGCATTTTACTGTCACTGATGTGAAAAGTTAGTTGCCATCACTAGCAAGTATTTGCATAATAAATAAGAGGGCGCCAGTGTGCTAGAGCATATTAACATGCTGACTCTTCCCCGGAACACTGAGAAAAATCAGAGCAACCAAAATTTGGTTGGGCGAACAAAAAAATTTTGTTGGTATTTAAGCAACCAAACTATTTGTTTGAGTTACCAAAAAAATTTGGTTGAGTTTTTTTTGTTGGCATAACAAAAATGTTTGGTTAGCTCAACCAAATTTTTTTTGTTAGGTCAACAAAAATGTTTGGTTGATATAACAAACAGTTTTTTTGTAAAATTAAAAATTTTATTCTACCTTATCTCTTTTCTTTTTATCTTTTTTATTCATTTCATTATTTATTTATTATCATTTAACATTGAATTTATATTTATCCAATTGAAATATTTTTTCTCTCCGTGTAGAATTAACCTTTTTTAGTAAAAATATGTCAGCAACCACTTTCAGATGATTTTCAGTGGTTTGACCTTTATATTATTTATAATTCAAAAAATTATTTTTAATTTTCTTCTATTTAGCTCTTTTAGCCGGGCATTTCTTCGAGAAGTGGTTTCCGTAAATTACAATATATTTACATCTTTTTTTAAATATCTGGTTACATTATGCTTCTGCATTTTGAAGTAAATTATAAGCTGTGTAAGATGTTTTCAAAATCTGTTGACGAAATATTTTAATTAACCTCATTAAAATATAGCTATCAACTCGTGTGATTTTTTCTGACAAGTTTAAAGTCTATCATTTATTTCGATAAAAACTACCATAACACAGACACACAAAAAAAGTTGTTTGTTTCTTGAACTAGACATACCCTTCCCATATTATTTTGGCCCATTGAAAACGAATATGAAGTCAGAATTGCTTCATCACCCTTTGATTTTTTAAATAAAAAAAAACACCCTTAATTGGACAAATTCAAACTTAGGAGATAAAATATTAAATAACAGATTTTTTTAAAAACAGAACCTTACACCTACGTATTTACCTACCCACTCTCTGAATGTTTTTAAAATCGTAAAAACCACCCTTAATCGGACAGAACCAAACTTTTGAGAATATTGTTATAAAATACAATTTGTTAGAATGAACTCATTTTTAGGAGTTTTACTCTTCAAATAAAAATAGAACTTTTGTCATGTTTAATTTAGAAAACTACTCTTAAATATGACGAATTAAACGTTCATTGAAAAAATAAATTAAAGAAATATCTTATAAAATTTATTGTTATCTTCATGTATTTCTAGTTCCAGATTTTTGTGGAGATCTTTATTCATTTCTTATTTCAATTCTCGGAGGATTGTTCTTAGGGTAATAAGTTAAAATAATACTTCTCTCACTTCCGCTTTTCAAAAAAAATTTTTTGTTGAGATATTTCTGTCGACTTAACTTACCCCCCCCCCCCACCCGGCACTTCCAGCTCCGGGCTCCCCTAATTGTTTTTAAATATTTTTAAAATGTGTATAAACTTAAATGAAAAAGTTTTTTTTATGTTTACATTTTATAAATTTCAATAACATCGGCATAAAAAAATGATTCAGTGCGAAAACTGCCATATGATAGGTTATCTTCTTATGACAGTCTTCGCACTCGAAATTTTTTTTTGTGTGCCTGTGTAATTAAGTAAAATAAATTTCAGTACAGTATTATAATAAACTAATATATTTAATAAGTTTTACCTTAAGAAAAGTATCATAAGTCATAGGGATAACAGATCCACTTGTAATAATTATTGGATTACTTGCACGTACACATATAAGAAGAAGTCCATGTTTTGCTTTTTTTGATAATTCTGTCCAATCCATAGTACTCATAACATTTGCTAATTTCATACTCTAAATTAAAAAAAGTAAATTAAAAATCGTATTTTGGAGGTTATATTGATAATGGAATAAACACACTGCAAAAAGATCCTGCATCCTTCTTTCTCACTCTCAGAGTAAAAAACATAGGAGTATGGATAACTTATTTGCCAGAATTAAAATAATAATTATAGTTAATTTTAGTTGTACATACTTTTAACATAACTTCATTTCCAAAATGACAATAAAGGAATATTTGAAGTAAGAAAGCTATTAGCGCCATACTTTGAATAATTACCCTGTCATTAATTTCATTCTTGTTTGATAAACTGAATACGAGAGTACAAATATTTAAAATTGATCCAAAGAATTGAATACCAAATACAATACTAAAAATATTATTTAATTTACTACTAAACCTGTAATTTTTAAAATAATTTTTATAAATTATCTACGTCCTTTTTTGTTGGTTTGAAATATAATTAATGTATATTCCCATTGCATATGACATTGCTGCAATATATTGAAAATTATTTTGTGCAAAGTGTTAAAGATGAATTTTGAAAATTAGTTTTTATTCAATATCAATCAAAGATTGATATTTTCTAAAACTCTAAAAGATCTTGGTTCTTTAACATACGTTGCCCTTCGGACAAATTATATTGTATAAGTAGTGGATCCCCTCCTTACCTCACTATTATTTAGTGAGTTGGTTGAGATATCATATTAATAGAACAATTGGTTTAGGAATATTTCAAAAAATGTAAAAACCCAAATAATACAATATTACAGTATTCTGTATTCTAATACAATTTTACGTGTGAATGAATGTATGTGTAAGGATGTTGTGTGTGTAATTTGCTAAGAGTCTCTGGACTCTTACGTATATTTCCCTTTGGAATTCCTCAGAATTATATCTTCCAAAATAATGACGTAACTCAATTTAAATATTAAATTAATTCTCTAATTTATTATAGTTATATTATATTCTCTTTTTCTTAAACAATTATTACAAACAATCTCAAAACTCAGTATAAGTTATAAACTTTATTTCTCATTTACTATTTATTTTTCAATCTCAATTTCAAAACTAAGTGATCTCAAAAACTCAATTGTATACTCTTTAATCAAATTCAAAATTAAATTCTCTTTGTTCAAAACTGCAATTATTCACTCTTTGAAATACTCAAAATTAAATACTCTTTAAATAATCTCACCTCAAAAATCACAACTCAAATTAAAACTCAGAATAAAACTCCAAATGGAAACAACCTCGAAACTAGAGGTTTGTTTCAAAAAGTCTCACAACTAAGAGACTCAAACTCCAACTCAAAACTCTCAAACTCCAAGCTCTACACTGAGCTCTCTCTCGATCTCCTCAACTAACAACTGCCTGACACTACTTGTGTCTACTGGTTTTATTGAGCTGATTTTTGGTGGGAAAAAGTATGTTTTATTTAATAATTTTATTGTTGTCAATGTTCTTTATTGCAACCTTGCAATATTGGGGTAGTGTTCCAGTTCATTTTGTACTGACATACTTTGGATGCAGCAATCTTTATTGCGCCATCCTTTGTTTCTTGAATTGAATTAGTTCACTTAGTTTCTCAATTTTATCATGAATTTTAAATATGTCTTCTTTAAAATTTAGGTTATTAATTAAAAGTTAATATTTAATATATAATTATTTGGACATCTCTAAGAGATTCTAAAGGTATTTCTTATAATGTTTATAAAGTGTTATTTGTTTGTGTTGCATATTGTGTCCTCTTTTTCAAGTATTGTATTAATGAATTATTAATAATGTTAATAATTTATTAATAAAAAGTTACGAAATTCAAACGTAACACAAAGATCTAAAATTGAGTATTCACAAATTGTTTATTTATACTTCTAATATTGCAAAAATATCTTGTGCAGTTAAAATATGAATGTACTTCGTACATGTAAACGTAATTATGCTGCATAATACAGTTTTTGATAATTTTTGCCTCTTCTGATTCATTGAATATAATAGATTTTATATTGCTTCTATACAAATGTGATAAACATTGTAGTCGATGACTTATTATATCTAGTTGAGAACAAATTTGAATCAACATTGTCATTACAAATGATTCGGATGCAATAGTAATAAATGCACTAAAATAAATAGTCACACATTGACTAATATATGTCAAACAAAATGCTAATCTCTGATTATAATCATAAGGAAACGAAGCTTTGATTGGCAAACTAATATTATTTTTGCCTTTTGTTAATTCTCCTAATGTCATCGCTAACGCTGTGGCATAGCTTGTTATGACAAAATACTTCGTGTTCCATCTGAAACAAATAAAATTAATTATATTATTTTGAATTCATCATTTGGCAGTATTAAGGATTAGTTCAACATGTGAAATGTAAACAAACATGAAAATGTAAGAAATGAATGACTATCTTGTGCACGCCTTTTTTAAAAACGAAATAACAATTTTTCTTTCTCTACGCAGAAATGGAAAATTGATATATAAAATTATAAAATGACATCTTATTTAACTAATTATATGAACAAATAATTAGAAATATAATAAAATCAAAGTGAAATTGAATTAGACATTTTCTTAAGTTACGAAAAAATAAGCATTTAAATATATTTGAGGCACGGACGTTGAGAACCTAGGTGGGAAAAAGAGTTGAGCGATTGGACGGTCACATCTTGGAAAGGGTAAAAATCTGAAATTATACCCCCACCAGAGGACAAAGACTAGGTATTTTACCCCTTCCTACACTATTTTTCCCACCTAGGTTCTCAACGTCCGTGCCTCAAATATATTTAAATGCTTATTTTTTCGTAACCTTAAGAAAATGTCTAATTCAATTTCACTTTGATTTTATTATATTTATAATTATTTATTCATATAATTAGTTAAATAATGTGTCATTTTGTAGTTTTATATATCAATTTTCCATTTCTGCATAGAGAAAGAAAAATTGTTATTTCGTTTTTTAAAAAAGGCGTGCAGAAGATAGTCAGTCATTTCTTACATTTTCATGTTTGTTTACATTTCACATGTTGGACTTGCCCAATCGGACAAGTGCGAGTTACACTCGCACTGAAATCGAGGGTTCCGTACTCGAAGCAAACTTATTTTGTATAAAAACTCATGTTTAAAAAATATGTGTTGTATGTTAAATAATATATGTGATACAAAAAGGAACAATTTTGTAAAATTTAGGAAAATTGTTCCTCTTCGTATCACATATGAGCACCTGGATATAATAACTCGCGCTACTCTCGGCTGTACGCTCTCAAGCCAGTCAAACCTACAAAAATAGTAAGAAAATTCAAATTCAAAATTTTGATTTTTGAAAAGTACTACCTTGTAGGAAATAAATAGGCGCATCTTTTTTTCCTTTAACATTTTTTAGAAAAACGAATATTTTCAATAATAAATCCAAAAAACTAAAAAAAAAATATTTCAAAAAAAAAAACAAAAATATTTTCCAAAGTTTTTAATGAATCGGCTTAAAATTTTCCAAAAAACTACCTTATATAGTAATAAACAAATGTCTCACTGGAAGTTATCTCAACTGTACACTTCCCTGCAGACTTTTTGTCGCCGAATGTAAGAAAACGTTATTTCCAACATGTCTCTATTTATATTAAAATTTTAATAAAAAATTAGTGATTTTTTAATTTTTCACTATATTGTCGTCTTCAGTAGACCCAAGAGCGTGTGTATACTAATTTTTAATTAAATCCGTTAATAATTGTAAAAGATAGGATGATTTATGTTTTAAAACTTAATGAAATTTGTGAATCAAGATTTCATTTAAAATATTCGTTTTTCTAAAAAATGTTAAAGGAAAAAAAGATGCGCCTATTTATTTCCTACAAGGTAGTACTTTTCAAAAATCAAAATTTTGAATTTGAATTTTCTTACTATTTTTGTAGGTTTGACTGGCTTGAGAGCGTACAGCCGAGAGTAGCGCGAGTTATTATATCCAGGTGCTCATATGTGATACGAAGAGGAACAATTTTCCTAAATTTTACAAAATTGTTCCTTTTTGTATCACTTATATTATTTGTCATACAACACATATTTTTTAAACATTTGATTTTATACCAAAGAAGGAACAATTTTCTTAAATTTTTTTAAAAAATTGTTCCTTTTTGTATCACATATATTATTTAACATACAACACATATTTTTTAAACATGAGTTTTTATACAAAATAAGTTTGCTTCGAGTACGGAACCCTCGATTTCAGTGCGAGTGTAACTCGCACTTGTCCGATTTTATTTTATAAAAAATATTTTACTAAAAAAATATAAGAAACATAATTTTATTTCAACTCGCAATATTTTTATTGTATTTACATTTTAAAAATACATTGAATATTAAATTTTATCTTTCTAAGTCAAAAATAGATAAACCTTAACATATTGATTTAAGGCTAGTAGCTGCTTGTCAAGGAAAAATCGAAAGTTATCTAAAAAATAAAATTTGTTTATTAATTCTTATTATTAATTAATTTATAATTTAATTAAATCTTTTGAAGATTAGTATTTTGCCAATTTCATTGAAATAATTCATGTTAGTCTCAAGTTTTGCTTTAAAATATTAGTGCATTAATATTCTTGTTAGAAAAAAAGAAACTTTGTTTATTTAAAGGAAACAACTTTCAATGATATTGTTTACAAGACGCACCACGTAGAGGTAACTAGTTATGCATCTCAACACAGAAAAAACCTAGTCTCCTTTTTGTTGAAACTCAAAATAAGCCTATGATAATCGACATAGACAGTGGCGCCACCAAGCTGGATCATTTTTGGTTCACTTCAAAAATGAATAACTACTCATTTTGAGACCAGGTTTTTTCTGTGAAGCTGAAAAATTTAGAATAATTTTTTTTACACTTGTTTAATATTTATATGTACCATTAATGATAACAAATAAAACAAATAATTTAAGAAGCTGTTTTTTAAAATTTATAAATTGTAGTTTAATTTAGTTGTCTGTTAAATTAAATTTTTAATTTATTAAACTTGAATAAATATTTATTAAATTTGAATCACTTTAGAAAAACTTTTTTCGTTTTTTGCGGAAAAATACATTTTTTTTGAAATTTATCATTTTTCTTCAAAAATTTGATAAAAATTGATGATCAACTAAATCGCGCTTACATTTTTTCCCTGTATTTTTCACGCAAAAATACAGTTTTACAGCAAATATGAACAGTTTGGGTTAAATATTATGTGCGCTAGGGAGAATAAATCATTTTTTTCGAAATTTTTGATTTTTCCTTGACAACGCTATGTAAATTGATCAGAATCAAGTTCGCTTTATTTTTCCTGTAATTTTCACGTAAAAATACGTAAATGTACCAAATTTGAGCTCTTTATGTCAAAAGATGTTGCTGCTAGGGGGGGGGGTACATAGTCATTTTTAGGTATTTTTCGTAAAACTTCATGGTTTTTCCTTGACAGCGCTATGATAATCAACTCCAATCATGCTCGCTATATTTTTTTATAATCTGCACGTAAAAATACGTTAAAATATATAAATTTAAATCCCTCTAAATAAAATTTTGTTCGTTTTTGGTGGAAAAATACATTTTTTTCCTAAAATTGTCATTTTTCCTTGAAAAAGTTGATAAAAAGTTAATCCTCAACTCTAATCGTGATCGCTTTTTTTCCCTGTATTTTTCCCGTAAAAATTCTCTAACTTCACTTTCACTTCACTTTCACTTCACTTTTACATCACTTTCACTTCACTTTCACTTCACTTTCACTTCACTTTCACTTCACTTCACTTTCACTTCACTTTCACTTCACTTTCACTTCACTTTCACTTCACTTTCACTTCACTTTCACTTCACTTTCACTTCACTTTCACTTCACTTTCACTTCACTTTCACTTCACTTTCACTTCACTTTCACTTCACTTCACTTTCACTTCACTTTCACTTCACTTTCACTTTCACTTTCACTTCACTTTCACTTCACTTTCACTTCACTTTCACTTCACTTCACTTTCACTTCACTTTCACTTCACTTTCACTTCACTTCACTTTCACTTCACTTTCACTTCACTTTCACTTTCACTTCACTTTCACTTCACTTTCACTTTCACTTTCACTTTCACTTCACTTTCACTTCACTTTCACTTCACTTTGGTTTAAATGTGACTGTCCTTACCTTTGTATTTTTTTGAAATTTTTCTACATGCGTTTTTTACAAAAAGTAAATATTTTTAAATATAATTCTAGTAAACATATTTAATCGATTAGTAATAATATTTCAGTGGTCTATTATTTATTATTATTATTATTTTTTTTGCTTAGGGACTTTTGGGAAATCTGTATACAGATACCTTGGCTTCCGCATGCCAAGGTTATGTGGGGTTGGTAAAAAAGGAGAACACTAAACAAAATAAGCTGGCGAACTACTACGAGCCCCGACCCACTGAAACCCGTCAACCCTTCTTGGGAGCCCTTTATCAACCCTCGGTACTGTCGTGAAGACTTTTGCCTTCGAAGGTGGCGCTCCTACTCTGTCATGAAGCGACTTCGTCCAGTCCTGCGGACATCCTGCGTTATCAATTTTAAAAATAAAACGAAAATCAATGACAAAGCGGAATTAACAGCACACCAGAAAAGAAAACAATAAAAAGTCAAAAAATAAAATAAAAAGTAAAATAAACAAAGTCTAAAATAAAATTGTAAAAAGACAGATGAACACATAAAATATAATATAAAACTGTAAAAGACGGAAATGAATAGAACACAAAATAAACAGAAATTTGTGAAAAGACAATAGAAGCAAAATAAATAATAAAAATTAACAAAAAAATAAGTAATAAATTTGTGCATGTGAATTACGCCTTCCTGCGGCCATCGAGATCCTTTCTCATCATAACAGAGATGATAAAGGTCTTTATGAGCCGCCAGTTTTCCAGGGACTGGATTATCAGCGCTACCATATTCTCCGGTGTAACTGTAGCGTTTACACCGGTGAACATGGCCTGCCTCTCCAAGTCCCATCTACTGCAGGCAAAGAGGGTGTGCTCTGCGTTGTCCACAGGGAACTTGCAGTAAGCACACTCCTCACTATCTATCATTTTAAAGCTCTGCAGGTACGATTTAAAACACCCGTGACCTGTCAGCGCTTGCGTCAAGTAGTAGGAGACCTCTCCATGGTTCCTACTTAACCAAGTAGCGAGTGTCGGTATAAGGTGATAAGATTATTATTATTATTATCAATTATTATTATTTTCAATTGTAGTCTCGAATCAGCTACTGTGCTCTATGGATAATAATAGAAAATATAATGAAATTACAATTTACAGTATTGTTTATTGATATCGCTATATACTTTATATGTAAGGCAAATTTAATTCAGTTACAAGCGTCCAAATTTTTCCAAAAGTGTAAATAAATGAAAATATGTTCAAGTTCTTTATTTGCTTTAAACACGAGCAATTAATCCATAAAGCACAGATGCTGATTTGGCACAGACGATTGAAATATTAATACCAATCGCTTAAATATGTTTACTACAATTATTTAAAATATTATATTGTGCACCAAGTACCAAGAATGTTCTCATGCATCATTTTATTTTTCTAACTTGTAAATGTTAATCAAAAAAACATAAATGAATAATGGGACAAAATGTACCGGTGGTAGTTCTAGGTATGTAGGATCTTCGGTAGTTCTGGTGATAAGGTGTTGCACAAAAATATTTACTTTTTGTAAAAAACGCATGAGAAAATTTAATTTCAAAATAATACAAAGGTAAGTACAGTCAAAGATAAACCAGAATGAAGTGAAAGTACAGTGAATGTGAAGTAAGAGTGAAGTGAAAGTGAAAGTAAAGTTGAAGTGAAGTTGAAGTGAAAATGAAGTGAAGTTGAAGTGAAGTTAAAATGAAGTGAAGTTGGAGTGACAGTGAAGTGAAGTTGAAGTGAAAGTGAAGTAAAGTTGCAGAATTGCACCCCTGTGATATCCCGCACCTGATATTGGTGAAACAAAGAGAATGATATGGGTATTCGTATTAATGAACATAAAAAGGACAAAGTTGGCGTTACTGATACTCATAAAAACATACCAGGACATGATTTTGACTGGGACAAATTCTCTATACTTGACAAAGAATCTAATGAAAGCAAACGCCTAATATCAGAAATGATTTATATTAATCTGCAAAATAATGCAATGAATAAGAAAGATGACACTCAAAATCTTAATTTAATTGCATATTATATTCGAAAAACTTGAAATTTCTGAAAAAAGGATGTCCTCCCCCCGTCTTAACTTTTACAGTTTTGAAGCTAAGAAGCTGAAACTTGGTACACATATTTAATTTCATGTGTAGATTTCACAAAGAATATACCAAACCCTTTTTAATTTGACTTAAATATTGCTTCGATAGAAAAACTCAAAATTCCTGAAAAAATCTCAAAATTCTTTTTTATCTTAACTTTAACATTTTTTTAGCCAACCATCTCAAACTTTGTACATATATATATATATATATATATATACTAGAGGAGCTACGCCCCCCTGCGCGCTTCGCGCGCCAACCCCCCTATTTTAATCTTTTTTTTTTAATTTTCCATTGATCTTATTTTTCCAAATGAATCACCTATTTCAAAGAATTATTATTACAAATTCATTGAAATCTGAATAAATATTATTAAAATTAAAATTATTAAATTTTAATTAATAAATTAATTAAATTAATAATAAATAAATAATTAAATAAATTAAAATCGACATTAAGAAATTATTTTTAAAAATAATTTCAATGAAATTGCCTAACAACCAATAAATTATTAAAAAGTCTTGAAACGAACATAACCTTTAAATTCAAGTCATTTTTGGCGGAAACTCAACCTTTACTTGCGGCTATATTGAAAGTCTTGAAATTTACATAACCTTAAAATTTATGTCATTTTTAGCAGGAAATACAGAGAGAGATGAGAGAAGGGGGAAGGACTTACTGCTTTATTAGGGTCTTAAAACAAACATAACTTCAAAATTTAGGTCAATTTTTGGCGGAGGAGGGGAAATGAGAGGAGGGAGGGGGGGGACTTGCGGCTATATTCAGAGCCTTGAAACGAACATAACCTCAAAATTTAGGTCATTTCTGGCGGGGGAGGAGAGGGGACTTGCGGCTATATTCAGAGTCTTGAAACAAACATAACCTCAAAATTTAGGTCATTTTTGACGGAGGGGGGGGGGGGGAAATGAGAGAAGGGAGGAGGACTTGCGGCTATATTCAGAGCCTTGAAACGAACATAACTTCAAAATTTAGGTCATTTCTGTCGTGGGAGGGGAGAGGACTTGCGGCTATATTCAGAGTCTTGAAACGAACATACCCTCAAAATTTATGAGGGGGGGCTCCCCCCTCCTAGGTCAAGAATTCTTGAATCAGCGGCGGCGGCGATATCTTTTTATTATATAGTAATGATATATATATATATATATATATATATATATATATATATATAATGTACATATTTACTAACAAATTGAATGAAAATTATAGGAAAAATATTTTTTTAAACATATATATAAACATTTACATAATCGTGAACGGAATCCTAGTTAAGCGAGTGTAACTCATAATTAATTATGTTTTTAGTATGTATAATCAAACTAAAAATTTTCGGCACAATTCAGTCAAGTCTCATTCCAATTTCTCGTTATAATAAAAATCTTATTTACTCACATAGCTGTAAAATCACATTTGTCTTGAATTATTTTCTCTTTATTGTTGCGAGTTTTTAAGCAATCTTCACTTAAAATTCTTATCAATTTTATAATATCTTCTCGTCGCAGTAGAAAATTGGTCATTTTGGCGCTAATAATAAAAGCTGCTAAAGACCAACATAATGATTCTGCTAAATCGTCAATATCATTTAATGAATGCAGAGTAAGGTTCATAAACAATGAAATATTAAAGGATTGTAAAAGAATAATCACGAAGATAGTAAAAATATTATATAAAGTTTTTGTGAAGAATGATGACCAACTTATTGGTCTATGAGCACCAGCGATTGTAAGAAGCTTTATTGAAAACTCAGCTTTATACATTTTCTTTAATTTTCCAAGTTTCCTTTTTCGTGAAATAAATTACTTATTAATTAAATATTAATATAATCATATATTATACCGCTGTTAATTATGCATATTGAGAAATAAAGAAACATACACATTCTCTTATTTTAGATACTTCAGGTGAAGTAATCAAAAGAAAATTCTTCAAACTTGGGCAATTTTTAGTTCTATGAGATGATAATTCATCGCAAAAAGAATTTTTTCAAGATCAACATTTACTGAGAAGATATTTAAAAGTACCATTTCTTTCAATAATTTTATTTCTTAAATATTAAAATAATTGTATATTAAGCAACAAGGGGCTAAAGGCAACCATTATTTACGTTGGCCTGTGCAGCTTGAGACGTGAATGAGTGCTTGCAAAAATCAACGTAAAGGTGTTCATACTTAATTTTTTTCATTTTGCTTCCTCGTGGAGGAAGCTATGTAGTCCTTTCGTTTAAAAAATTTTTAAAAATGGTGAAAACAAATTTTCCTCTATATAGAAACATGTTATATGAGATCCTGGTCAATTGTCCGGATGTATGTGTGTGTATATACATATATGTGTGTGTGGATCGTTTTTGTGAACACGATATCTTTAACAGGTTTTAATGGATTTGGGTAAAATTTGGTAGGCTTATTTAACACATTAATCTCTCAAAAATGACGAGAGGATTTTTAAAAATACCCCCAAAAAAAAATTTTATCGTCTTTTTTCCAAAAATTTTTTTTTACTTGAAAAAATTTTTAAATCGAAAAATTTAAGGTAATATGTAATATAATCGACTTCTTTATGTCAAGATGAATCGATTGATATATATAAAGTATAGATTTGATTAAAATTTAAAGAATTAATGAAAGTTAAAAAAATCAAAAATTCTCATTTTTGCTAAAAAATGATGTGTTTATTTAAATTCATGTTTATATATGAAATAATTTTATTCCCTGCATTGAAACGAATTGGTTGGTATATATAAAGTATAGATTTGATTTAAAATTTGAGAAATAATAAAAATTGAAAAATCGAAAATTCATATTTTAGCTAAAAAATTTTGTGTTTTTTTAAAATTCAAGTTGATGAATAAAATAATTGTATTCCTTGCATTAAAACGAATTAATTCGTATATATAAAGTTTATGTTACACTCAAAATTAATTAAAATTTTCTTTATTTTTCAAAAAATTTAATTAATTTAAAACATTTTTAAATCGAAATTTTTTAAATCAATCAATTGAATTGGACAAATTCATTGCTTCCTTCACGAGGAAGCGAATTTTTTGCTTCACACAATGAGGAAGCATAATGTTTATGAAATAAACATAAAGGACACCCTTCTTGTTTAATTTGTAAATCGTCTATTCGATGCCGGTTCTTATGTAAGAATTTTCAGCTAAGTTTATCTAGATGAAAAATTGATTTTACGAAAAATTTTCATCCTATATAACTGAAAATTATCCAAATTTGGAAAAAAAATTTCTTCACCTCGATTACTTCACCTGAAATCCTCTACTTTTGTTCAATATTTTTGTTTGTAATAGTTAATGACAACAGTTAAAAAAAACTTTGTATTTAATTATTATAACGTAATAATACTTGTACACTTGTACTTGTAATACTTGTACAGAGTACAAGTTTAACATGTAACTAAATTATAATGATTGAGGATATGTTGTAAATGATATAAATTGGCAACAAGCTATATACTGTATAGATATAGATCTCCTTATGCGTATAAGAAATAAAACCGTATTTATTATTCCATAGTTACTCACCCTATCTTATACAATTTTAAATGGGTAATGACATAGTAGATACTTGGGGAAATGAATGTAATTCGATTTATTCCAATTACTTTATAAAATTTTAAGATAATAACATGTTAGGTACTTGGTAAAATGAATTTAATTCCATCTGATGCATAAAATAAAATCGCGTTTCATATAACGTACAGCTAAGCTCTTGTAATTTATTTATTCATAAAGCTGCAAAGAGTAATAATGCGTAAGCAGATAATAGTCGTATTTTCAACCCTTCATTGAATTTATTATAATTTCATACATCATTCGCGAGAATATCGGTAATTGGTCAAGATATTTTTATTATAAACATCGATTTTTAAAAAATAACTTTGTTTTTATCTTACACAGTACATGGAGAAACTTTAGTTTTTAAAATTTGACATTATAATAATTATTTTTACAAAAAACCAATAGTAAGAGAGAATGAAAAGAGATATTCACAAAAAGAATTTTAACTAGAATAATTATAAAAAGTAAGAGTTGAAATTTCAAATATTACCCTCTGTTTTAAAAATATATTAATATTTTTATTGGAAAGAAGCAGAGGTGCTAAAAATATTGCTCATCTTAAAATTAGTTATTGCATTATCTAAAATTGTTTTTTGAAAACATTCCCATTGAAAATAGAAATTTTATTACTTAACAGCATTCGATTGGTCGAACTTTACCGATAGTGTACGAAAAATATCCGATTATTGCCGAGTGTGACCGATTGGGTTTCATCACGTGATAGTTGATCCGAGGCCTGATTTAATTAAATTTAAAAAATGTTCTATAATTAATACTTTAAACAGTATTAAATATTAAATTTAATGTACTTTAAATTCCGAAAATCAATTTTTATTTAAACATAATTTTAAAATGAAATTCTAAACAAGAGAAAACCTATTTTAAATGATAATAAATATTTAATTTTGAGAGTTTACACAATCAGCACGAAAATTTGCAGCAAACTTGTAAGAAGCTTGCCGTGCAAGATGTGCAAGATTGCAGTGCAAACATGTAGCAAGTTTGGTGCAAGCAACAAAATGTCCTCTTGTGGCAAGCTTGCAGGGCAACGTTAACCAAAGCTTGCTGCAACTTTGTAAAACTACCTTGCCACAAGAGGACATTTTGTTGCTTGCACTAAACTTGCTACATGTTTGCACTGCAATCTTGCACATCTTGCTGTAAGTTTTCGTGCTGATTAGGTAATTTAATTTAAATTTTACTTTATATTAATAATAATTTATATTTTAAATAATAAATTAGATTTACATACACTAAAAAAAAGTATATAGAATGTGCTTTAAAATACGGCAATTTTTGTCGTATAACTAAAGTAAATGCATATAATATATGGCAATTGTTTCTGTAGAGAAAGGAAATTTTGGCTTTGTTTACTATAAGGTTTCAAATGCATGTTACACAGTGGAACACTAAAAAAATGGGTTAAGAGTTGACTATGATAGGATGAAAGTACTACCCCAGTAGAGTAAAATCCCCAAAGGATTTTGAAAACTTAGTGGCCGTTTGGTTTTTATTACAATTTTAAGTTTTAGTAATTCAGTGTTTTCTTGAATAATCGCTCTAATCAGTGTTTAGTCAGTAAATTGTGCATTTTTTACAAAACACTACCGTCAAAAATTGTGCGACCTCTGCTTTTTCGATGACTATAAAACGGTTTAAATCTTCAAAAATATAAAAACTAAAATTTATCCCTTTTTATTTTACAAAAGCTAATAAAATTCTGAAAGAAATGACACCTTGATAAAGAGAATATGTTAATTTTTCAACTAGATATCTATGAAAAACCCAATTTTCAATGTTTATACTATTTTTTTTACTTCTCTGATAAAAATTAATATTTTTTAACGTTCTTGGAATCATTGGAATGATATTTTGTTATAGGGGAGGATGGGGTAAGGATAGTTAGGTAAGACATTTTTGGATCTAGTAGCTAAAATTCAACAGGCATCAGAAAAAGAATAGTATCGTTCGAAAGCCTGTTTATTTAGCTACAATTTTGTAATACATTATTTTGCTGTGGATTGCAATGCCTACGAAATATTCGCGGAAAATTAAAAAAAAATTTAACTATCCTTGCCCCACTATTGGGGCAAGGATACACTGAAAAAAACTGGTTAAAATAACCAGAATTCTGGTTAATCTAACCAGAATAAAAAGTTATATATACCCTTACTACTTTTTCTGGTTAAAAGTACTAGAAAATTTGGTTAAAAAATTCTGGTTAATTTAACCAGAATTTCAAGTTAATCTTACTAGAATTTTTCTAGTTAAAAATTTCTGGTTGATCTTACCAGAAATTCTAGTTAATCCTAGAATTAATTAAATTTATTATTATTATTAAATTACTATTAATTAAATTAATCACTGTAGTGAAACGTTAAAAATTATTTTTGTTTTTTGTGAAATTTTGTTTATATATTTAATAAAATATTTTATAAAAGTGCGTAGAAAAACTTTATTACAAAATTTAAACAATTTGTTAATAAGTGATACACTGAAAAAAAATTCTAGTTAGAATAACTAGAATTCTAGTTAGAATAACCAGAATTCTGGTTAGGGTATATTTAACATTTTGATTCTGGTTAGGTTAACCAGAATTCTGGTTATTTTAACGAGAATTCTAGTTAATTCAACTAGAATTCTTGTTAACATAACTAGAAAGTAATGTTAAATATTGCCTAACCAGAATTTTTTTCAGTGTAGTCTGTGATCCCCTGTCTATTATGAAATATGTATTAAAAAAATTTGTATTATGTACATATAAATGCAATCAAATAATAACACCTTTACACTGAAATTCTCTTAATAATGTTTATTTAAATATGATTATTCAGAACTAAAATTCTGATAAAACGTGTCGAGCACGTTTTCAACATAACCTTCAAACTAATTTCCACACGAACGGGTTTGCCGATCGTCAACAATTTTTTCACTTATATTATAAAATTAATTAACCTACCTTTAATTAGATCTTTTAATTCTCCCAAACCCCAATTTTCCAGAACTTGGTTAACTTTTTCATCCATTCTTGCGATCCGCTAGAACTGTTTAGTCTTTTTAACTATATTTTCTTGTTAAAATAACTAGAAATTTTTTAACCAGGCGCATCTAGTAACTTTAACCAGAACTTTTTTTCAGTGTAGTTATCAAAATTCTTTTTACGAAAAATAATCAATAAAAGATATATTAAATGTGGGGTTTT